CCCGCCACAGCAGCAGCCCAAACTGCATTAAACCAAAGGGTTTCTGTGCTTTGTTTACATGACTGTCCCGCGTCGCCGCCCAGGAGGAAGCCCCCACGTTTGGGTTTTTGTCCTGGAAATGCTGTGGGAGGTGGGGAACGGGATGGAGCCGGGCAGTGGGGACCCCCCCGCACCCCAGCGCTGGGCTGAGAGCCCCTCATGGTGCAGCCCAAGGGGGGGGGGGGGTGAGGGGGAGCATCACCCACCAACACTTCTCCTTTATGTCCCCATATTTTTTCCCCCTCGTTGCCGGGGAGGGGCCGGAGGGAGGTGGCTGGGGGGGACATGTACGAAGCCCCCTCCCCGCCGCCGCATCCCTCGTGCTGTATAAAGGAAATAGCGTTGCTGTGTATTTGTACTCCGACCTTCCGTGTGTCTGCTTTGGCAGACGGTAAACCCTTGTACAGTAGGTCTAGCTGCATGTAATCTGTATGGACAACGGCATTATAAAATGCAATAAAAGGAATTACCTATCGTCTGCGGTGCTGCCTGCTTCGTTGCGGTTATGGGTGAATGCAGCATCTGTGGGTTCTTCCAGCACTGCTATGGAACCCACGTGTGCCAGAGCTCCCATTCTGGTGGGGCTGCTGGCTGGGGTCGTATCCTGCTGGCGTTGCAGCAGCCCTTGCGTCCCCAGGTGCTGGCAGCTGTGCAATTGCTGTCGGCTGCCAAGAAGGGAGGAATTTTTGGTTCCCAGCACAAGTCGGCACTGGAGAGCTGCGTTGGTAATGGGAGCCAAGAGGAGCTCGGCTTCACTGTAGGTTCAGCCCTCTGCGGTGGGGTTGGATGGGATGGGGTGGCATGGAATGAAATATCGTGGTGTAGATGGGATGGGATGGCACAGTGCAGATTGTATGGGATGGCATGACATGACGTGGTGAGATGGCAGGGGGTGGGATGGCATGGAGTAGATGGGATGGCAGAGATGGTGAAGGTGGGATGGGATGACATGTATGGCATAGGATGGTGTAATGGGATTGGGTGGCGTGAGAAGCATGTTATGGTGTAGATAGGATGAGAGAGCATGGGATAAAATGGGCTGGGATGGCATGGGAGGAGATGGCATGGCATGGCATGGAATGAGATGGGATGGCGTGGAATTGGATGGGATGTCATGGCATGGCACAGTGTAGATGGGATGGCATGGCACAGGATGGCATGGCATGGTGTAATGGGATGGGATGGCACGGAATTGGACAGCACGGGATTGCATGGGGCAGCAGTGACCCCAGGAAAGGCATAGAAGCAGGAGCTTCCCTCCTCATTCTCACCCCCCACAGCAGCAGCCCCTGCTCCATGCTGCTGCGTGGGGTTTTTCCAAAGGCTGGCACAAGGGTGAGTTTCTGGCTGTTGGCTGGAGTTAGCTAGCAGTAGATCTGCCAGTACAAAAACTAGCAATAAAAATAAAAATAATTATAATTAGTAAGTGAGAGAGTGTTTGCCCTTAGGGACCTTTTCCCCTACCTTAAAAAAAAAATGGAAAAAAAATCCCACCGTGCAGCATTCTCACCTATGTGTTCCACAGCCTGGGCCTGGGGATGAGAATGGGGATGGAGATAGGGATGGAGATGGGGATGGAGACACGGGTGTGGATGGAGATGAGGATGGGGATGGGGACAGAGATGGAGCAGATTCCAATTGCTGCAGAGGCCCTCAGCCAGCTCTCAGCCCCCCGTTTCACAGCCCAGCTCAGTGGCTCGCTCCCATCTGTGTCTGGACCCTGCCAATATTCATAGTCTGTTATATCCCCTTTCCCTCTGCTGCTCTGTCTCTGGCCAAACTTTCTTAATCTTTTTTCCAGTGGCCATTTTCCAAGGCTCCCTGACCCACAGCCACTCGCCCGTGAGTTCCTGGGGTGCACTGAGTGCATCTGTGCCAGCTGTGTGCTGCCAGCTGAGCACCCATGGGTGCGAGAGCCACAGGAATCCCCCCACCCCCACCCCCTGCATCACGGGCTGGGGCGGGTCTGGGGGCTGCACGTGCCTCTGATTGATTTAACACTTGGAGATCAGAGCTTTCCAACTAGAGATTGTTTTTCCTTTTTTTGTTGTTGTTTTGTTTTGTTTTTCTTTGCTAGGGACGTGCGAGCTCACTTTGATTGCTAAACCAGCGCATGGCGACGAGGGGGAGACTGGGATTGGGGGCACCCAGCTCAATCCTCCCTGCATCCCTTCCACCAGGGTGCTGCTGTGCCCCGGCTCCGTGCTCGGCCCTGAAGCGCAGCCCCGTTTGGGATGTGACGCTGCTTTGGGATGTGACCCCATGCTGGGATGCGCCATGGGTGAGCAGTGGCCTCTGGTGCAGGCTGAGCTCCTGCTGCACTCAGTGCACCCTCATTAGGGCCGCCCTCATCCTTGTGGGCATTCAGCTAAAAGGTT